TTTTTTTTTTTTTTTTTTTTTTTAGACTGCTAGAATATCTCTCACAAGAGAAATGTTTCCTGAATGAGTCTATCATTGAACCCAGTGGAGGGCAGGGAGAGCCATCTGGCTGCAGTTTATCTTTTCTCCTAATGGAGAGCTTATTCCTTAATGTACAGGGAAATGATTCTGATGCTCCTGGCACATTGAGAAACAAACTCTAGAATTTACTCTGCCAATAGGACTTTTAGCAGATGTTACTTCATTTGTTAAGTTGACAGCTTGTTTGCTTATACCACCTCATGCAGCTGATGTTTTCACAGTGAATTTCGAGAGTTTGAGAATGGCTCCATCTGTGTGGAGTGTGACCCCCAGTGCGAGAAGATGGAAGACGGCATCCTCACATGCCATGGACCGGTAAGCTTGAAGACACCTGTGGTTGTGTTGGCTTATTTAGTTACATGTGTGAATGTTTATTATGTCATTGCTTCATCGTCTATCCATCCATTCAGCAGGTGTTTATAGCATACTAAGGGGAATCACGTTTGATATTCTGCCCTCAAGAGGCTTACAGTTTGGTAGTAGAGACAAAATATTTACAAATTAAATTTCTTAAATACTTATGTCCCATATAATGTATTTAAAAAGAGAATATGAAGATGTCCTTGAAATTGCACAGTGTTGAAAAGATGGATCTATAAGTAATTAGATTGAACCAAAATAATTGATAAAATATAAATATGTGTAAATTGTTATAGGAACAAAAATGATAGAGAGAAATTTATCTGTCTTTGGGATGGAAAGTAGGGCATCAAGGAAGCCCATAGAGAAGTGATATTTAAGCTCTACTTTGAAGAAGAAACATCTGGAAAGAGGAGGCATACAAGGAATGCAAATGTAAAAATTCATGGTGTGTTTGAGGTAAACTATAAGACATTCATATTTGTGTTTAATTATTTAACTATTATGGATTTGTGAAGGACATTAAGACAGACTGAGAAGGCAAACATAAACTAAAATCTAAAACAGTGTGTTAAATACTATGGCAGAGAGAAATATTGAGTTATGAGAATGGAAGGAGGGGCTACGGGATTAGGAAAGTCTTGATGGACACACTGGCATTAAATGTTTGAAGTTAGCTTTATAGAGAAAATGGTAGTTCCTTTTTAGATCTCCCTTTGTTTCCCATCATTCAGGCTTTTTCTTAATAATGAGGCCAATATGAGTTTGTCATTCCAAAGTGTCACATTCATCCTTCTTTAGACAAATTTCCATGGTGTGTGTGTGTGTGTGTGTGTGTGTATCGAGTCATTTCTCAATAGATGATTTGGGGACCAACATTTGGGTGTAGCCAAGAGCTCAACATTGTTCCATAAGAATTTATGTGGGGGGCGCCTGGGTGGCGCAGTCGGTTAAGCGTCCGACTTCAACCAGGTCACGATCTCGCGGTCTGGGAGTTCGAGCCCCGCGTCAGGCTCTGGGCTGATGATGGCTCAGAGCCTGGAGCCTGTTTCCGATTCTGTGTCTCCCTCTCTCTCTGCCCCTCGCCCGTTCATGCTCTGTCTCTCTCTGTCCCAAAAATAAATAAACGTTGAAAAAAAAAATTAAAAAATAAATAAATAAATAAATAAATAAAAGAATTTATGTGGAATTTAAATAGTACTAATTTTTCTACTAGAGTGCTTATTCAGCACTTAATAAGCTAGAAAAAAGATATCGTTGAGCCCTTCAAACTTCCATTAGGCCCCAATGAGCTGTTCTGGAACTTCATCTAAAGAAGGATGTGTAAAGCTTGGACAGTTCAGAGGACTACCATAAGGATGATTAAACTTGGAAAATCAGACCTCTGAGAAAAAGAAGTGGTGTGATTTGGCCTCAAGAACCAAAGTCTAAAAGACAATTCAATATGTAAATGATCTCCAAGTAAGTATGCAAAGGGCATATACAGCTATTTTCTTTCTCCACTGAAGATATTAGTGGAAAAGGCAATTAATCCACAGAAAGAGAAATGTGGATACTGTAAAGAATGACATGAAACATAGGGAAGTAAAATTCTGAAATGGGTTGTTAAAGCAAGTCAAGCTATCTATATACAACTTCTTTAAACACTAACATACTTAAGTACCAAAAGTCAAATAATGAAAAACAATGTATCTTTCAGAGAGACTGAGACTTCAAAAATGTGTAATTACAATAACAAGGAGACTGCAAAACCAGTCCCATGCTTTTTCTATTCCTCTTGCTGTCTCCTATGGTATAAAATTTTGCTGCTGAGTAACTAGTTTATTAATTTACTTCAATTTGTATGTTTTCACAGCTTATTTGTTCATTCTTCTGTTACTCAAAAGATTGAGACAGTTTATAAACTACACATTAAAAAATCCCTAATAGTTAATGTTTTTTTTTCAATTTTCAAAATTATTTGATAACTAAGAAAGAACAAAAAAAATAAGTTTTTAATGAACACATTTTGTTTTCATATTGACAGCATTGTTGAGCCATATACTTAAAATTACCACCCAGTGTGAACATTGTCAATTAATATGTCTAGAATTTAGGAAAGGCATTAAGTCAAAAGTAGAAAAGATTTAGTAAACCTGAATCACTTATTTGTAGAAAATTAGAGAATGGAATCAAGAAAACCTGTTTGATCACTCGATCAGTAAAACTTGAAATGCTAAGCAGGTAAGAATACAATTTAGGTTATGGTGTCTGAGAAACTGGTAGGACTGAGCTCAAACAATGACCCATTCTCCTTTCACTAGGACGTTGCTTGCTTTCAGCTTTTACAGTTTATATGAGGTTTTTGCCTATTTCTGGGTTTATATATTGATTATCACAACTATAGACAGAAGTGTTTTGTGTGTCATGTCACAGGCACATATCATTTAAGATATCCAAGAGGTTCTCTGTGAGACTGACATTGTGATGAGATAGAGAAGTCATGAAGAAGGTTGGAATTCCAACACCTGGCCTTACCATTTCTTCTGTTGGAATCACACTTTCCTGACCTGTCCATATTTTCCTAATAATAATAATTGGTACACATTTATATTTGTCAAATACTGTTACATTTGAAGCATATGATGATCACTTTTTCCATTTAAAATATAAAGAAACTTAATCTATAATAATTAAAAAGTTATACCAAAGATTCAACAATCTATAAGATGTGGAGCTGGGACTCAACTGTTGAAGTTCTGCCTCCAAATTTTACACTCTATTCATTTCACTCCCCACCCCACCCCTGCAAAAATTCTGTAATATAATAAGGATAATATGTTTTCTGAGAATATAACAGCTACATGTCAAATGGGATAGTATTACACTATTTAAATGTGGCAGAAATCCAGGATAATCTTGAAAGGGCTAGCTTTGAAATAAAGCAAGCCCCTGTTTTTATAGCCTTGTGTGTCTGCATGTGTTTTTTACGTTTTATTATTTATTTAGCAATTTCATCCATTCTGTCTCACTTTTACTACCCTTGTTTGGTCCTGTCAGGAAAGATAAGGAAGGGCATGTGAGAAGAAAGAGAAGTAAGGGACATCAGAGGAGTTGTAGGAGATCAAAATATAAGCCAAAGAGGAGAGATAGGGGAAGAAAATTATAAAAGCTAAAGTAGTTGTTAAAGTCAAGTTCATAAAGGTGTGCTGCCATAACAAATAACCCCCATATTAGAGTAGCTTGTAGGAAAATGTTTAAATATTTTTCATGTAAAGTGCACTGCAATCAGCTCTCCTCCCTGAGATGGCCTAGCATTCTGAGATCCTTTGAATTATGGCATCTCCACATTCGCATGGGATCACCACATCATGGCAGCAGGCAAAGAGAAGGCTGGAGAGTTGAGCCCTGACAGTCTCATAAATCGTTTCTACTTAATTTCATGGTCCAGAAGAAAACATACCTCACCTCTGGTGGGAGGGGAATTCCAGTCTTCCATGTGGCTAGGACTGGAAGAGAAATGGATACTGGTGAATATTAGCATTGTCTCTTAGCAGTAGTTACCAGAGAAAATCATCAATTGTTACTGAGAAAAAAAATAATATTTCTATCAGGATTTAGCTTATTCTTTAGTTTTCTGCCTAGATAATTGAATCTAAGGATAGCTTAAAATCAGAGACAAGGAACAATATTGCTTTCACCTCTGTTTTTTATCATTGCATTTATCAACTCATTCACTGAACTTAGGTTCTTAAAAGCTTTGGGAATATAATGATAGAAGAGTAAGCATTAGACACGCGTATTTCTTTAAATCTTTTTTATGGAAATGAGTTGGAGAACTAGTATATTTCATTTCTTTTGAGATTTGTCGGGATATTTTTTTAGTTATGTCAGCTTAGAACATTAGGTTTTGTATCATCACACAATCAAATAGGTGAGAGGGGCTTAAAAAACAAAGAAATACACAAAAAATCTGTTAGAAGGACAGTTAAACATTAAATATGATTTTCATTTTAGTTTCATAATTTTTTGTGTCTTCTGATTTTACCTGGACATTATTTTACATTAGAAGAATTTTATAGGAAAATAATTCCTAATTTCTAATTTTCACCATGCCTAATTTACTCATGGTTAGTTTTATTCTTCTGTTCTGCAGGAAGACATCAGCCTGTCTCTTGTCTTGTACAATAAGTCATGCCACTGAGCATACTTGCACAGTAAATGATTTTGTATAATAGATGGCATTACGTGCCTAAGTACCCATGAGCAGGTGTTAAAATTGGAGACATGTGAAATATTCTTTTTTGGTAGGAAATAAGAAGTTGCCAATAGCAAACTCTTCAGGTTGAATAGGGATTAGGTTTCATAGGATAATTTTCTTTTAGTTGTAAATCTCACATCAAAATAGCGAAATAGTGCTTGATTGAACCTCACCAGTCCCAGAATTTCCAGAAACCTCTTCCTGATTATTTTTTCTTCTTTACACCACTGTTCTTCATTAGCAGCCTCAATCTTTAAATTTTACAATATTATATTTATTGATTTCCTGATGTCTTATATCTCCAACTTGTTATGTCTGGCCACTTTTGGATTAACATTTGTAGAAGGATGTAATACACTCCTGTGAATGGACACTCCCTGCCTAATACATAGTTCTGTACAATGTCTGCTTGTTGTTGGCCCCCAGATTCACCATGTTAATTCTAAGCCTAATAAAATTGATTATCTCCCTCTATACTTACTATATCTCCTTTATCTAAATTGTGTTTAATGTGAACTGTCATAATTGTTGGAACAATGTGGACAGACAGATTTTGGGGAGAGATGGGTCAGGGGAAGAAGTTCCAGAGAGAGGTCAAAGAAAAGAGGAACCTAAGACAATATGATGTTCAAAAGGGAAGGCCAAAAGTCAACTTTTTAAGTAGGTAATATCACTATTCAAAATAGTTAAATGTGTAAATATATTGGCATCTCTTAAGAAAATAGCATTTTAAGAAAATGGTTATCTATTTATCTTGAGAGAGAGAGAGAGAGAGAGAGAATCCCAAGCAAGCTCCACACATCAGTGCAGAACCTGACATGAGGTTTGAACCTACAAACTGGGAGATCATGACCTGAGCCAAAGCCAAGAGTAGGACTCTTCACCAATTGAACCATTCAGGCGCCCCAGAAAATAGCATTTTTAATAAAAATATTCTCAATTTTCTTTGATTTGGTGGTAGACGGCTTATCATTTTGCATGCTTACTATCCCTAGCACCAAATTGAAACCAGTTTTTTCTTGTAAAATTATTTTGTTTAATATGAGTTTTAAATTTTTACTTTTTGATATTTAAATATATTTGCATGCTATTATTGCTTAGTAACATGCTACATATTAGAAAATGGTTATATATTATCAACATAAATATATGAAGTGAATTAGTGCCGTTAAAATTTATTTTGCTCATATTTATATCACCTTTACTATTGGATAAATTTTGCATGCATCTATTTCACTATTATGGGACTTTGGATATTTGCTTATCAGAGTGTGCCTTTATTGTGCTCTCAGTACTGTACTGTTATTTACTAAAATCTCTATAGACGTGTGAGTTTTAACTTTATCACAAGCTGATTTAAGATGGAGTGTAACGTAGAAATTAATTTTTATTTGCCTAACATGACTAATTCCTAATAATTCAACCATAGTAAATTTTAAAATCCATTGCTCAAATAGTCATAGTATAATCAAAGGAAAGTTTACATCTCGTTTTTACATTGAAAAGCTGCCATAGTGACATCCCCACTTGTAGTTCTGAAAATGCTCTCCCATTCCCTAGTGCAAGATTGACTACTCACTGAAGGCTCAAGGACTAATCCACATGAATACCAGAGGAAACCGCACCCATTTTTCTTTCTCCATTGTGTTTTGTTTTTCACAATTCAGGGACCTGATAACTGCACAAAGTGTTCCCATTTTAAGGATGGCCCGAACTGTGTGGAAAAATGTCCAGATGGCTTGCAGGGGGCAAACAGTTTCATTTTCAAGTATGCTGATCAGGATCGAGAGTGCCATCCATGCCATCCAAACTGCACCCAAGGGTAAGCATCCTTGCCAGCCAAGGACTCCATCACACAGGTTATCTTTACCCCTGACACCATCTACTAACTATATAACATGTTCATGTAAAACTCGATTCATCTTTATATTAATATGTTGATTTGAAGAGGAATACTTTCTAAGAAAACAATTTATGTAATCAAATGTACACTGTCTGAAATATTCTGTTAAATATTTACCTAAAAGTATTCTATCGACACCTTTATAAAGCTGGTGGGAGGTGTACTTGTAGGGAGTCTAGAAATTCTTCTAAATTTTACTTGGTATTGAAGATATTTTATAAGAGACAAGATAGCCGTCATACTTGGAGATGTGTGCTTAATCAATCTTTAACAGAAGTTTTCTGATTATGTTTCTTTGTTCTTACAACCAGCTTAAGTTGAGGATAGCTCTCTTTGATAGATATTGCCTTGGATTACTCCTTCAACAAAATATAAGCAAAATAACAACAGAAAAAAAGGTGGGGGGAGAACTTAGTGATATGCATATTAGTCAAATCACAAATACATTTTGTGAAAGTAATTTTAATACAGGTAAACCTATAATCTAGAACTTCTTTGACTACTATAGGACAACTCAAAGATGGGTACCCAGTTTTCTATCTTTTTTTCCAAAAGGATGCATTATAAAATGAATAATAATTATATTACCTTTGATATTGAAACAGTTGTAAAACAAAGACATATTACAGAAAGAAGAAAAGCACTGAACTGAAAGAAATAATGCCACTCATGTAACAAATCCCAGAACCTATTTTTTAAAAGATAGCAAATCTATTTTAATAAGGGCTTTTCTTTTTCTTTCCTCCAGAAGGTGACTAATTTCAGACTTGAGAACAATTTAATATACTCTATCCTCCTTCTGTCCATAAATCCTCTTCTTCATTATGAGTGCCCACACACATGCACACACACACACACACACACACACACACACACACGTGCAAATACATACACTTGTTTTTGAGAATTATCTCGGGTACTTTATATCTGGCAGGAGAGTATGAGATTCTATAAAGAATGTTTTCTGCCACATTAAGAGCTAGTTGCTAGGGGATATTGAAGAAGTTAAGCAAGCAACAACATCATTTTCTGCCAAGAGGACATCAATTTGCAGATGCTGCTACAATTTCCTGCAGGTCAAGAAATCAGCTTAAGTCACTCTGTGAAGTGGTAGATCCTCAAAAGGTAAAGTAACATTCTGCCATTCAAATTTAAATTCAGCTTAGAAGAGCTAACGCCATCTCATTGGTTTACACATAAGGACATAGACTGAGGATACTGAAATAGTCACACGGACACCTAGCTTCAAGGAAACTACAAGGAATCAATTTCTCCCCTTGCGAGGTTTTGGCACACTTGGGTTAAGAGTATTTCATGAAGAAACAACTGGTGCCACTGGAGCAGAAGAGTCAGCAACAGAAAGGGAAAACTTTGCCTGCTAAAGTAATCATACACAGGAGGGTTTTATTGTTTTGCAGCTAAAATTAAACCAGTAAATTATTCAATATAATGTTGATGTCAACAGCTGTTGCCATTCAAAATGAGACCTTTTGCTATTTTTGCAAATCTAATTACAATGAAGCCATTAGGGAAATGAAAGTGAGATCGCAGAGCCATAGTCTGGATGTGTGGCTGGTGTGTCTTCCTTTCAGCCCTTTTAAATCATGATTATGTAATAAAAGAACACATCTATAGTGGGGGAAGTAGAAGTAGAGACAATGAAGAGATCCATTTACCACAGCAACAAAAGCCAGATGTCAGCGAAAAGGGAGGATGAAGGTATAAATGGAACAAATCTGACCAGGCCATTTAGGAACTCCAAGTAAATAGAAAAATGTCTTTAAATCAACTGTTGCAGAATGATGGGGAGACAGAATTGGATGTTGTATTCCCTGGCATCTTCCAAGGTAAATGGATTGTAAGGAATGATTTAGTCCTGAAGGATTTGTGTGTTTGTTTTCATTTAGCTTCCTGCCATCCTTTTCCCAATATCCTCCGTATTGTCCAGGTTCACTCACTTCATGAGAGTTTTGTCATCCCAATCCCAGAACTCCTAAATTCCTAAATCCTATTCTATATTACTGTTGTGTAGCACTGTGCTCTGAGATTCTTGAGTGAAGCCATGAGGTGCTCTGTCCACTTAGTCCCTTCTTTTCAAACTGCATGTAGAAGTAGGATCTTTCTCTAGAAAGATCACAGGGCCAGTGGAGATGACGTGACGAGTGACTATTTTTATTCCTAAATACATGTAATAATTGACCTGTCTGTGCGTGTGAGCTCACCATGCCAACCCCACTTTGGAAAACCGCTTTCCTTTTATATGCTGATATTATGTCAGCTAGATAATTCAAGAACCAAGTTACTGGAAATAGTCTTTTGAATCTCATTTTGTAGAAGGAAAGTTCTTACTTTGAATACTGTTCAATGATTTTCTGAAAATAAAATTATGTGTGTAATACCTTAAAAGCACTTTTATTACTCTGGAAGTACATTAAATATATTGGCTCTAATAAGTTCTTTAGATACTTTTAAAATAGGTTATCCATTTAGCACATATCAGGAGATTCTCATTAATATCCCTAGAGGGGTGGGGAATAACATTTTCTCTTCTTGCCTTGACTAGAGAACTTTTATTTTAGCAGGATTTTCTCATTTCATTCATTCCTCAACTTGGTTATACTGAACAGCAACTGCACATCAGAGATAGTGATAGCTAAATTCAGAAATGAGTAAGATCCCCATATTTTGAAATGATGAGAAAGAATTTAAAACTTAGGAATGATCTTCATATTTGAAAATAGCAGGATAGAATTAAAAAAAAAAAAAGACTTGTAAACTAAATTTAGTATGTAATTAAATTCCTGTAAGGGGATTTTTTGTGTGTGGTTTCCACACTAAAATCTAACCCATGACAAATATCAATGCAGTTTTGGTTTTTAGTCATGGACTAGAATATTTGTTTTTCATAGGCGTCTTTGAAAATTTGCATTGAATGTTTTTGTTAATGGTAGAATCATGGTTTCCATATTATTAAATTCCCTGTATGCGTTTATCTTTTTTTTATCAACACTTTTTATATATTTTTTAAATTTCTATGGTGAAAGAATTTTCATTTATAAAAGGAAAGAAGAGCTGTTTGTGAAATTATTGTCTATACTCTTTTAATTGAAATTTGAAAATACTCCACTTTCATTTCAAAATTTGAAGATCTTGTCAAAATATCTCAACTAAGGTAGGTGGGTATATCAAAGTGCTTACAAATCAGTAAATAGTGGCAAATGTTAAACACAACTCAGTGTTCAGAATTGCAGATACTTTTGTAATATGTTATATTGACATGTTATAGTTTCTGATCTTCCTTTAAATTTTTTACTTTGTAACACTAATTTTGTAGAGTTACCTTATTCCTTATTTGATTTTGATATCATATTTGAGATTTTGACTCTTCAAAAGTTTAATGCTTCCATTATTCTGTGATCTTGCTGAATCAATATAAATTACATGTGCTAATTAGTTGCTTATATGAAGTCCAAAGGGTTGAAATAGAGTATACATCTTTAAATACACAGTGACTTGTACTTCGAAAGGATGGTGCTGCTTTAGTCACACTTTTATTATTTGTCTTTCATTGTTTCTTTCATCTTTAGCTTTTAAATATGTCTACATCTCAAATATTCCTAAAGAGTTCCCTCAACAAACTTTCCTGACCCCACATCCTGCCCCCTCAGTGCTCACCTTCCTTTTCCCTTGCTTTGCTTATGTCCAATATGCTTCTCAACTCACAGTGGTTGAAATTCTGGTGACCTTGACAATGACAACTAAAATGCTCTCAGTAGTTCTTATTTTATTAGACCTCTCTTTGCATTTGATTTTGACAGTTACTCCTGAATGTCTCTCCTGATTTGGCTCCCACAATGATGCTGTAATTACTTGATTTTACTCAATATTTTCTCATGCTTCTGGCATATGAGCTTATCTTAGGTCATTTACTGGTTATCGGAGTTCTTTGAGTTTCAGTCTCAGTCTCCTCTTTTCTCACTTTATAGATCCTTCTTCAGCTATCTTACCCACTTACATGATTTCAACTTTCTTCTGTATGCTGTTTCAAAACTGATCATCACACTGGTGCCTTCACACCCTACAACCACAGGCCTCTCTTTCCAGCTGTCGAGGAACATTCCCTACCCAGATGTAGGACAACCACACTGGATGCATACTGTAGATCCATAAAGCTGAAATTATCAACCCCTCCTCCCCCAACACACACACAAGAAAAGGTGTCCCTCCTCCTGCATTCCCTCACTGATGGTACTGCATGTTTAACTCCTCTGATCCTACTTTTCTTTCATCAAATCAGCCATCAACTTCTCTTCCCCACCCCACCCACCATACCTTTGAAGGCATTTCTTGAATCTGGCCCCCTGCCTCTATCCTAGTTGCCATTTCCCCGGTGTAATCCTTTTTCATCTTTTACATACACTAAAAGAATCTTGGTGCCAAAGGAATCTACCTGGATCCCAGCTGACTAGCCTTCACAGGGCAGAGATCCATGTAAAATACAAATCTAGCAAATCCACTACTTCAAAACCCTGCAGTGGTTCTCCATTAAGTTTGCCCCTAAGCAAATAGCCTTCAAATTCTGGCTCCTGTCTAAATGATCTCGCTTCTTTTCCCTCTTCCTGTCACCTCATGTTTTGTTTGCTCCCTGACTATTCAGAATTATTTGCAGTTTTTCATGTGCACTCTAAATTTCCTCAGATCTATGCTTTTGTTCCTGCTGTTTGTTACCCCTTAGAAATGACTGCTACTCCAACCCAGGTTCTCAGCACCCTGCATTTCAGCTTCCTAACTTCTCCATGAGGATGAACATGAATTTCTAAAGCTAAGTGTCCCTCCTCTATGCTCCCTTAAGCCACTCTTTCATGTCTCTTTTTATATTTATCACATTAAACAATATACATCTGGTTATGCATCTATCTCCTATTATGCATTAAATTGTGAGCTCATTAAGAATAGGAAAAGTGTCTAATTCATCATCCCCCCCACTGCCCAGCTCCTAGAAGAGTAACAACACTTAGTAGGCCTACAAGCATGTTTTTTAATGGATGAATAAAGATCTTTCATTATTCACACTTTACCCTCAAGTTGAATTTCACTTTCAAATATTTTTATATTTCAAATGTTATTGTAAAGACACAGATTGCAAATTAATCATAGCTTTCAGATTCTCACTTGGAAATAAGAAGTAGACTATTAATTTTACCAAATGGTAATACTGTATAAAAAATCACTTGGAAGAAGATATAATAGGAACCTAGGAAAAAAATAAGTTCTTCAGAATAAAATAAAAAGAATATCATATAAGACAGTTTGAAAACATTTTTAGTAGTTACTTTTTCCATTTCAAGAAATGGTTTTGGTTATGGATTATAGTACCAATTCAATGCTATGTGCTATATATTTTTATTTGTATTTCTAATTTGCTTTTTTAAAAGACTTTTTTCACAGTATATTCCCCATTTTTCTGTACATTAATTTTTTTCTGGGCTATTCAAAACCAATGCTCAAAATGAAAACAATTTTCCACCTAGTAGAAACGTTATAGCAGATATTCATGAAGCAGGGAAATATTGACTTAATTATTATTATACATAGTTACATTAGTTTACCAATGTTGAGAGTTATCTAAGGATATAGTAGACAGTCTGGCCTTATACATGAGTCCCTTATTACTTCATTATATGGTGATTTTAACTTCAGCTTCCTTTTCAGTTTCAGAAATTAGAGTTTGGAAAAAACATTTGTGATCAGCAGAATTAGACAGTCCTATAAATCATAGCTGTGGAGGGAATCTTGATAATGCACCATAGATATATGTATTTGATGAGAGAAAAGGGAAGGAAATACAATTTGTACATTGGAAGATGGAAGAAGTAATATTTCCATAATACCTCAAAATGAAATTCTAGGGACCGTACATCCGGATTTTGTGTACTTATATAATTCCAGTGAATTCTTTAGTTACCTGCTTCTCAGTTTGTGCATTTCCTTGCAGAGTATTTATTTATTATTGTTTGAGTTAAATATTATGGCACTTTAAAAACCTATTGTTTGTCTGTTATGGCACTGTGCTTTTAAAATAGAGCGTCAAGATAAACTGCAGTCTTGGTAAAACCAGTTAATTTGCTTTTTAAATGAATTCATGTTTAAAGATAAGTATGTTTTAAAAACCGTCACAACCAAGGAATGGAATAATGTGATTATGTAAAGTATCCATAAGAATAGCATTAAAGCATGTTAACTCATTTTCTGCCATAATCCATCTTTAATGAGTATTAAGCATCAGGTTATTATATTATATTGAATAGCTCATGTTTCATTTTTTATTGACTTTAGCTTTTACTTAAACTTAAATGCTTTTAGAAGAAACTGTATACATGAAACCATTTATAACCATTGAAATATCAAGTCATTCAGCAAGACATGAATCATGATGCAAATGAATTGAGTATTGGAAGTGAGTTATATGTGTTTAGAAGTTATCCACAGAAACAGGGTACAGTTTCCTTTACTGTGGACATGTTTCTTTGCATTCCATGCGGGTGGTATTTGCAACCTATTTCTTTGTATCCATCAGGCAATAATCTTCTCACTGGCTTTAAATTCACAGTGTTCCAAAATTGTCTAATAACCGTAATTATGAATTTGACACAATTAGTGTTTATCTGACTGATTTTTTTTAAATGACTAATTTTTCTTTCCTTGTATTTTTTAAATTTGGATCTTCTGCAGGTGCATAGGCTCACGTATTGAAGACTGCATCGGCCTGATGGATAGGTACTTGGTGTGCTTGCTTCCCATGTTCTTCCTCCAAGGCTCCGTGTGTGAGCACTGGTGCATGTGTGCGCATGCCGCTGTGAATGGAGAATGATGTTTTCTGTTCTGTAATTGCCTGCAGGTGTAGCGGCCCCACTAGTCATGACTGCATTTACTATCCTTGGACGGGCCATTCCACTTTACCACAACATGCTAGGTAACATCTACCATGTTTCCATTTTGTCACTCAAATCCTTTTCAAATTATCATGTTTACAAACTACTAACCAGTTGGGTGAAATTGATAATATGTTAAATTAGGGAGTTATGAAATAGGCATATAACACTACTTTTCAAACCACATCCCTTACCTCTTTTTTCTTTACTGATTATGATTTTAGCATCCAAATTAGTAGTGTCATTGGTTTTCACTTTTGTACAATTTAAACAGGATTTCAAATTATTAACCTAGAACTTTAAGAGAATTTTTAAAATTAATTTTGTAGATTATTGCAAAACTAAACATTTTTAAGAGAGGAATTTATAAAAGTTGATCTATTTTCGTAAGATGTTTCTTGTTTAATTTGATTCCTTTTCTGATCTTATATTGTTTTGAGCTGGTTGTTATAGTATTCTGTAGGCTTCTGAATTACCATAGACTAAAAGCACTATAGAAAATATTTTGTGCAGGTAAAAGTACAAGTTGGAATGAAAACAAAACAAAACAAAACAAAATATATCACTCAGATTCATACAAAAACCCATGCATGAAGGTTTATAGTGGCTTTACTCAAAATCACCCAAAACTGGAAACTACTCAAATGTTCTTCATTTGTGATATATCCATACATTGCAGTGCTACTCAGCAATAGAAACGAACAAACTATTGATACATGCAAAACACAGATGGATCTCAAGTGCATTTTGCTAAATGAAAGAAGCTATACTTAAAAAGAATACATACCAGATGATTCAATTTATGTGGTATTAATTCTGGAAGAGGCAAAACTGTAGGGACAGAAAATTGATCAGTGTTGCTTGTGGTAGTGTTGCCAGGTAAGCCTGGCAAGGGACATGAGGGAATTTTGGAGGAGGGTGATGGAACCGTTCTCTCTCTTGACAGTGGTGATGGGTACACGAATGTATGTGCTTGTCAAATATCATGGTTAAGCACATTAAAAATGAATTTTACTGTCTATAAATTAGACTTCAATAAATTAGACTTAAAACATTTCATTTTAGGAACATAGTAATTTACAATGTTACGTAGAAGTACTGTTTGCTTTCTTTATGAAACAAGTTAATTGTATCTTCTGGAAGTGAGAAAGTAGTGCTAAATTACAATAAGCAAGATGACAGTTTGGGATGAAATATTGCCTTTTAATGTACATTTTTAAATTCAAATTTAACATAAAATTTAACAGTATAAAAGTATACAAAACATAGGTGTAAAACTCAGTGAATTTCTTTGAATGAAACGTTTATATAACCATCAGCCAGATCAAGAAACAGAATAGTAGTAGAAACAGAAACACCCTTGTGCTCCACTCCAAGGGAACCATTTTCCTGAGTGCTAACAGGAGTTTGCCTGTTTTTGCACTTTATATAAATTGAATCATATATATGTATTCTTTGTCCCTGGCCTCTTTTGCTCAATATTATATTTATGAGGTCCATCTATGTCATTACATTTAGTCATAATTTTTCATTTGTATGATATTTGCCTTTTAAAAGTTTTTGGAAAATATCAAGTAAGTGTTATCTCTTATTAAAAGGTTATTTAATTCTATTAAAAATAAATTCTTTTTTTTAAAAAGGGTGCAGTAGAAGTAAATGATTTATACAACAGTGGCACTTTGACACTTGGGATCAATTCAGACTAGTTAATACAGTTCTTTAGAGCAAAGTTTAAAGTATGGAAAATATCAGCAAGAGAGAGAGAAAGAGAAAGTGCATGTCTTAAGGCCCAAAGCTCAGTTTTATAAGCCAAGACCCATTTTATATTGTTTCTATATTTATGAAATAATTTTCCTCCTTGAGACTTTGGTTGAGTCACTGCACTATCATTATGAAGAGTGTTTTCACATCGTTTTAATGACTTTCTTATAATTATTCCAGCCAACTAATGAGAGGCAATATAATGTGGTGACTAAGTGTGCTGTCTTTGGAATCAGATTTTCTAGGTTCAGAGAAAGGCTCTATCATTTTTTAGATATGTAACCTTGGGTAAGTTCCTTAATTATCTGAGCCTTACTTTCTTCATGTATAAAATAGGAATGTTAATATAGTTTACAAATTGGTTGTGAGCATTGATGGAGTCCATAGAATATGCCTAGCTCAAATATCACCCAGTAAATGTTGTTATTTATTATTTTGCTATATATCAAATGATTTTAAATGTTGGACATGGGGGAACATAACTCCTAGGGGGAGTAGGAAAATCTCTCAAAGTCACCCAGGAAAGTTTGACTTATACCTCTACTCCTTCTGGTGGGTCACTTGGCGGAAGGGAGGGCATTTATTTCTTCACCTCAGGAATCACTGTTTTAAGAGGTCCACTGGTATCTTTGGCAGTAGGTCACAGGCAGAGGCATATGAAGAGACAGAGAAAGAGTTAAAACCATAGTGGTAGATCCCTAGTGGTTTTCAATTCTGGTAATTAAGGTTGTATAACTCAAAATCATAGTGTATCTTACTATAGATTTAATATTTCCAACATGTTTTGGGAATTTTCAATCCTATTACTTGCCTGGGCTCTCAGGCCATTTCCTGTATTCTCAGACTAATACCTAATTCAGATTAGCTTTGTCATAAGTAGGTAGGTGACCATGTCCAGTAATAGAGTACAATTCAGCACAATTCAGCCCATGATTCCTATGAAAAATCATCTGTAAGCCTTTGTACAAGTAAAGAGCAGAAGTTTTTGAATGTGAAAGCCTGGGTTCAAGTATTTGCTCTGCCATGTTTCTTGTCTGTAAAATGGGATGATAATTTGATAATTTTTAAAATGGAAATTCTTATACCTCATAATATTGGTATGATGATTAAATGGTTAGGAGATATTATCAAGTATATATATTCATTGGTGGTAGTTACATCTCTAGTTGAAATATTGGAAAAAAATCTTTTTTAAAAATCTCATGAGGTTATGTTCTACTAGCATATATATATACTATCAGCAGGGCACAAATATTTATGTATCAGCAGGGCATAAATCCAATAGTTTATTGACTACAAAACTGGTATATCAGAATTTCTAAGCTTTTAAGCATCTAAATTGTGCATCCTACTTCTAAGCATGATGACTTAAAAAAATTGGTAGTAGGGAGCTAAGTATTCCTTTTAGAAACTCTGGATGTATTTAATTAATATTTCTTTCGAACTTAAATTTAAAGCAGTATGACTCTTCAGTTGTGTTGACTTGTCAGAATTAATGGACTTGTCATAGGCTGCTTATAAGCAGTTTGGAATTTACAAGAAAGATTTAGCTTGGACACCTTGAAAAGTGTTTATGACCATGGAACATTTTGACATGGATTGGATGAGAAGTGAAAGTAATAAATCTTACCTTTTTTTCAGGTAAATGCTTTTTTCAGTAAATGTTTACCTCTCTGAAATGTGGTGGGTACACAGTTAATTAAAAGCAGGGGACTAGCTTAGTAATATTTCAGTTTATTTTCCATTTTTAAATTCTGTGAATGTTTTTCTTATGCCTCCGTCTTAATTGATTAAAGTAAATCTTACATAATAGGGAGATTAAAAAAAAAAAAACATGGTAGAAAGTAATTGCTTTCAGTCTTGTAAACTATGTTTTAACTGGGAGATTACCCAAATGCCTAGTTTTCTTTTAGTCACACAAAATTGCACTGAACATGGCAATGTGGCCATTTCGAAATATTTAGGATTCATACTCCCTACTGCCCCATTATGTTGTATTCTGTTTCCTAAACCAGAAGGAAAAAAGATTGAAGATTTAAATGAAAACAGGTGAAATGCTTCCAATCTTGATCGACTTTCATTTTCTAAGCAGTGTTACTCTTTCCCAAGCCTGCAATTTGTGAATTGGTTTTCCACACTCCATTTACCTTACAGGCTGTTGCTGGAATTTCTTCCAGGAAGATAGGATAGGATGGAAAAGATCGTTGCTGGTGTTGTTGATTTTCTTTTACCTGTAATCTCCTAGAATATTCTACTTGTAATGAAAATAATAATTGAATTTCAGGCCTTTTCCATATTTTCCTTATCTGAATTCAATGCCTTACAACTAACGTTTACTTGGATGTTCTTCTTTTTCTTATAAAGAATCTTATGAAAAAATGTGTTCAGCAAGTTTTTTTTTTATTATTCATTTTTATGCTATTTATTTGAGCTTGCACATATGCTGTTTTCATATAGATTGTAATAGAACAAAGCATTTAGTTCTATTCTATTTTAGTTTCTTTGCCAACCATATATCCCAAGCTTTTTATAATCTTAGTCTCTCACTCCATCAGGGCCAACATGTGTTCATCTAAACAAGCAAAGGCTCTATTGGCAAAGCATTTCTTTTTATTAGTTAGAAGCCCAAAATATAAACTAATAATTCTTTTTGAATTTGTGACAGGAATTGTGAGAAGTACTAGATTTCTGTTCAAAATTTTTTATCTGGCTATCTGCTCCAATTCAGTTATTCTAGACACTTCACAATATGAAGTAAGGTAACTGAAATCAGTTTAATTCTCTAAATCTCATCTGGGCAGATATTTGAAACGTTTTATATTCCTGTCACATTTTAATGCCTGTGTCACACTTTTACTTTCTGGTGTGGTGGTTATTACCTAAGAGGTCACATAACAGTTTATTCTTTAGCAGTGTGACCCGTGTGTGATAGATGAGGGAGAAGATGTGATATTCTTGGCACCGCCTTCACAAATGGCACAATCTTTTTTCTTTGTTTGTTTGCCCTCAAGGAACTTGGTTCATAACTTATGTCCGTATCAAATGGTCAAAATAGCCCATAGATGGTTTCCTCAGATGAGTGGCAGTTATGTTATGATCCTTAAGTCCAATAAATAAAAGTACACAGGCTTTTTATTATAAGTCTATCCTCAGTCCACCACATTCTGTATATTAAATTTACTTTTGAATTTAAGAGAGTTCAAAGAGGTGAAGGAGAGTGTGTGAATTTCTTCTTTTCCAGCTGATTTGTGCCCCACAGTTTCCAGTACATATAAAATAC